GACCCCCGGGTCAATTTTAACAGATTACGAAAACCGTTCTTAGGCTTTAACGACTCGACAGGATTAGGTACACATATACTCTCCGAAAAAGGAACACATATAGGAATTTCAACTGTATTTTTATGTTTATTTTTAAAAATCTTATAGGCTTTATGAGTCAATGAAATATATCGAAATTGCACACTGGGAATGCAGACTTATCCGTCTTTGACACCAACTCGAGGAAAGTCAGTTTGAGTGTCACATGGAGACGTGTGGTGGCGCTGAAGTCAATACCTCGTGTGACCACCGTGGGAATCCAGAACTGCACGGCATCGCCTCGGCATCGAACGAATAAGTCTCAGAATCTCGTGTTGCCCAATCGCAGCCCACTCTGCCTGTAGTGCCTGTGCGAGTTGCTGAAGTGTCTGGGGCTGAGGGTTATGGCGTCGCACCCGTCTGTCCACGGCATCCCACAGATGTTTGATCAGGTTTAAGTCTGGTGATCTTGAGGGCCAGGGGAGCACATTGATGTTGTGCTTCTGGAGAAAGTCTCTAGTGTGACTTGCTGTGTGGGGCCTGGCACTGTCCTGTTGAAACAACTCCCTCTGGCGATCAATGATTGGAAGGAGGTGTGGGTGTAGGATTTCGTCACAGTACCGTTGAGCTGTCAGGTTGCCCTGGATCATCACCAAATCACTTCTCCTACGGCAGGTGATCGCTCCCCACATCATAACACTGTCCCGGCCGAATCTGTACACCTCGGGAACGCAAGCGTCGGCGAAACGTTCACGTCGACGTCTGTACACCCGCATTCTTCCATCGCATCGTTCCAATAGAAATCGTGATTCATCACTGAACCAGATTCTACGCCAATTCGGTAGGTTCCAGGCCTGAACGTTGGTGCACCATTGAACTCGATGTCGACGATGTTGTTGTCGAAGCACAGGGCCAAAATAAGGTCTTCTGGCACGTAAACCAGCCTCTCTCAACCTGTTCCTGACGGTCTGTGCAGAAAACCTCCTCAATCCGGGTATTTGTCGAGCGGTACTGGTCGCCGTAGCTGTTCGATGACGCAGGTGATGTACCCGGATGTAGTGATCCTGCGCCGCAGTGGTCGCTCGAGGTCGCCCACTACGAGGGGCATCTGCTACCGAATTCTGCCTGCGATATCTCTCTCAGAGCCGTGAAATGGTGCTTTGGTGAACATTCATGCGTCGGGCAACTGCACGTTGAGACTGGCCAGCTTCAAGCGAACCAATGGCGATATGACGGTTGGCTTCACTTAGACGTGGCATTTTGCGTTCGTCAACAATATTCCAAATAAAGTGAATAATCGACCGACAGCGATCAACCTTCTATACCCATCATTGAGACTATCTGATCCCCAACTTTCACGAGCATGCATAGTTCCGACCGACGCTACGAAGCCACGCCTACATTGGTTACTGTTGCTATGTCCCCCAAGCTTTGCTATGCTGAGCTGTCAAAATGGCTGAATGTCATCCGGGAGACGACTGTCTCAGTTCAATACCCGACAATATCTCCTTACATTTCCATCCAGAACATGATAGAATATCAAAAAGGGCACAAGCAAGGGGTTTAAATTATTTTCTAGAAGGGTATGTGCACGACATTAAAGTTTTCAGTCATACTCAGGCCGTTTTCGTGTACGCGAAATGTTGGAGATCGCTATCGAAGCGCGAAGAGGCGCACAAACTACAGCTGGAGATAGATGTACGATCACAAGAATTTGCCGATTCCTACTGTTCTTGCAAGGCTGGTTAAGTGCATTAAAATGCGTTATTTTAAACCAGAGTGACAACATTCATCAATATCTTAATGTTCCCTCCCAGGAATTAATTTTCTTATAAGCCCATGACATCACGGCCGTTTCCCCGGGTCAGCCTCGATCTCCACTTCGCTGTCAAATGACATCTACTTTGTTAAATAAAACAAAAATCAATACTAGAATGCAAAATACACACAAAGTTACAGTGTACAGACTGGTTGTGACACCAGGGTAACACCCCTGTCACGTCCAAACAAACGCAGAGAAAAAAAACAACAACACCCCAAAACAAGCCCGGACATCTGTACTGTGATGTCTAAATCTGGGACATGTGTAAAAAGGTACACGAAGTACAAATCATAATCAAGAAAACCAGCATCTTGTCTTCAGCTACACACTGCACATATATAGCCATATATTTTCATACAATTCTCCAAAATATTACAATTTCAATATATTTTTGGTTATATTTGATTTTCATTTTGATGGAATTATCAACTACGTATACAGTACACATTTTTCATGAAGGCAGTCATTGCTATGTTGAACTCTAGTAAATGTATCAGTCTGGGCTACTAAACAGGGGTATATCTTTTAAACATTTTTTCACTTACTAAATTTAGTAAATCCCATTCACTCAATTATTCTTATTTCATATTATACTCGCATCTACATTCACATGAGAAAGTGGAATTGGTATCTGCTATATTTGTGTATTTCTTTCCCAAATTTTGGAGGGCGCTGTTCCCACATCGTTGGTTTGGTCAAGTCCCTGCAAGGACTGAAACTGCACGAGTACACGCATGTGCCACAGCTGCAGAGCTGCACCAGTTTGCCCCAGCAGTGGCACAAACCTAGGGGAAGGACAATTACCCCAGTCCCCATGAATCATATCACTGTAGCAAGACCCACCCAGAACAGGAAGAGGAAGCCAATGACTTGCCAAATTGATACTACAAAGAAGTAAGTCATAGTCCAACATTACAATCAAAGGTTTATCCTGTTAAAATATATTTTAAATAATTAAGTGTTGTTAACATTTATATGTGATTAAATAAATATTAATGTACTTACTTCTGGTAAACCACATACATAACAGTCTATATGGAGAAATTAAAGGAATTTCACTCTTTCAGTCTAATGTGATTATTTGAAATTCTATAAATGTACATGTTTCTCAGAATCCCAGTTGTCACAGAAACGGACATGCAAATCCTGAAGGACCAGGAACATGCTCCATTGAGCTACATGGTACACCTGACTGCCCCCCAGGTTCAGACTCCAGTTGGAGACGTGCAGTTGGGATCATTCCTGTCTTACCAGGTACATTCCATCACAAGAGTGTCAGTATCACCAAAATATCTATGGGGATCTGGGCTGCTTGTTGAAATAAAACACTAAAGGGATCTGGCGCCCAGGCTCACTGACTTGGTATATGCATGTCATTGTATCCAAAATGTGCACATCAAATCCAATGCTGTCAATCGCTATATTGTCAGACCCAGAAGTATTTATTTTGTAGAACACATCATACCTGCAATATTGCTGAGACCAGCAAGTAACAAGCAAACGTCAATATTTATATACATGATTTTATTGTAATTTGATACATTATCAAAGTTATTCTGTCAATAAGACATATTTCTGAAATGATACTCATGCCAATCATTCTGACATCATAGTTTTGATTAGAAAGTAAGTTAAAAAAATAACTAATTGAGAAATGTTTAATTACCACAGTAACAGTGGTGGCAGTTAAATATCACACCTGTCCTTTAAGAGCACAAGTACTGTGTCACAATTTGTTTTTGTATGAATTATTAGTGTAATTTAAAAACATGAAACAGGATGAACACATGAACATGATTGACATTATTTCAAATAACCCATTTCTTCTTTAATTGAAATAAGCAGGACATAAAGTCGTCACAAGACAGAAATGCCCAGTGTCATATTTGACATAAAATACATTTTCCATCCCTGTATCAATAGCCTCTATATTAAGAGTCAAATACAATGGAATTTGAGTTAAGGGGAAAGCAGGCAAGAAGAATTTCCTACAATATAATCAGGGATTTACCTGGAGTCCTGTATTTGAAGTTACCTGGGACACATATTCTTAATCTATTTTACAACAAAATGGGGGTCCCAGACACTTAAATATTATTATTAATACTGTTTGTATTGTGTATCATGATCATCACATTGTTACAGTAATTAAATTGCAAATGATACCATAACCCAGCTAGTTACAAACTCAGTCATAACTTATTGTTATTTGATTGGAATTTTTACAAAAAATATTTGCACTTTTTCTGTGTCCCTGTGAATGCGCTACTAAATTTTGTTGAGTCCTTTGTTAATTTTTATGCGTATAGGACACAGGAATTTGCGTCTTGTAAATCCCTGATAATATACATAATATCTGACAATTTCAATCATAAGTTTCATAAATAACCGCTCAGTTTCCATGTAATATGGAACATATTGCCATACATTAATTTGTAGTGCAGAGATTATTTCATATGTGTGATTGCCACAGGCCAGTGTACATTACAACTGCAGAGAAATTGACACAGTTGGGTGCAAGGAAAATGCAATGCCCTAAGCCAATGGCTATATATGTACGTAAATAATTTTATACATAATTCTCTTGGATAACAAATGTTTGAATTTCATCATACTGGGATTATGCCTCAGTCCCAAAACTCAATCAACATATAACATACTGAAAGAACATTGATGTTGCAACTGTAATTGTCACAAAACTGAAGCATATTGCATATTACGAATATAACCTTGTATATTTTCAGTAAGTTTCAACCAGAACATCAAAGTCTGGCACATAAAATGTATGTCAACATTCACTATAAACTACAGCACTGAGGGCCTCAAACACACTGGTAGAGCAAATAGTGATGACAAACAGAGGGTACCCCACATCATATGGGTTTACAATGGAACCTTCAAAGTGTAAGATTATATCTTTACTGCATGCCCTCTAAAGAGTGAGCTAGGGTCCTTCTGCGATATGAATCAAGTTTCATTACTTACAAGTGCTGAAAAGTTAAGTTGATTCATAAGTCCTGATACACAGATACATTTACCACAGTTTGGATAGTTATTGGTAGAAGTAATAGAGAAAATAAGATACATTTTTCATTGATTCATAAGAACATTTGAGTGAATCAGTATATGCTGATATAATGGAGATTCATAGTTGTAGTGCTTATTCATGTTTATCAGTGACAAAGATATTTTGGAACAAAGTCATACAAGCACAAACAGTCCAAATCTGATTAATTCTTCCAAATAATGAAGTTGGTATTCTGTGTGCTACAATCTTGAATTTCTTAATCTTAGCTATGAGGCGTTCTATATGGATACGGTGTGCTGCAATTTTCTCAGTGGCAAGAGTTTCAGCAGAAGTCATTTGGGTTTCTGAAGAAACAAAAGGTGGAATGTTTAACTCTAAACCTAATTCTGAAAGCTCGTCCTCTATTGTAAAGCCCTTATCAGCCATAACTGCATCTCCTTCTTTGATGTAACCATGAGTAAGGAGCACCTTTAGCACATCATAAAAACCAGACTGTTCTGTTAATGCCTTATCTGAGATTGAACCAGTGAAAAGTTCTGAGACAAATGTTAGAGAACCATTGGGATCACACCCAACAAGACTATTTCAAGGTAGTACTTGATTTATAGTCACTGTACAGCTGACTCTGAAGTCCAAGAGCAAATGGAGTTTGAGTTCTTAACTCAGTACCATCAATAATAATAACAGAATTTGGAAAGTCTCTTTTGAATCCTCTTGGCATGTTTGAAATGATGGTATCTCTGTGTGGCCATAATGATAACTGTCCTAGTTTCAAGTACATGTGTTCTACCCAGGCATTAAATACTGCACCACTCGACTGTAATGTCAAATGAAATCTCACAGCTATATCTTTGAGCCCAAAATTGTGCCGTAAACGACACAGTGTCAAAAACAAACAGTTCCCAGCTGATAAAGTACGAATATCACAACGTCCCTTTTCATAGGTCATGGAAAAGCTCCCATCTCCTGGTACTAAAAACTGTAAGAGTGCCAAAAAACGGATGTATGTTATGCCAGTGTAATATCTAAAAAGGTTTTTTAATTTTCCAGCTTTCCCCTTGACTGTCTCTACCCCAAATTTCTGTCCTTTGCTAACTTCTCCTTTAAGTTTCTTTATTTCTTCATCCTTAAGGGTGATTGATTTCTGCAAAGCATCAATCATCATTTGCTGCTGTTCAACCTGGGCTCGAAAGTTGACTATTGTGTTGCGGTCAGATTCAGGAAATCAAGTGGAGATATCCCTGCAACATAAAAAGTTGTCACATATATGATACCAACAACACAAATCTCAATGTTTTACTTAAAAAACACACTCATTTACACACTCATAAACTTTACAACACAAATCGTTTTGATATGATGTTTTACTCTCTCAGACAAGAAATATCAAACCTGTAACAACACTGGCTCACACTCAATGCAAAGTGGAATCATTCCCAAAGACATCACCTATCAAACTACCAACTGAGTTTCCAGGTACTCAACGATGGATATGCTGTGGCTGATCCTGAACAATTAGAGAGAGACACCAGGGGTCCAGTCCTACAGTCTCCTCTGGAGGTCATCCAGATCAACGAGACTGCTGCTTCAAATTTTGGAAAGATTATCAACAGAAAAAAGGCCAACTACTGCCTTCTTGGACACCTTATTTCCTAAGGAGAAACAAACAATATATGCCAAGCCTCTAGAGTATGGCAAAAAACATGAAAATTCTGCTAAGTCCAAATATTTGGAAACATTTCAGTCTGCCCATATGCATGATTGTGGCCTGATTGTAAACCCTGAATTCAGCTTTCTAGGAGCTACTCTGATGCAAAACTATGCTGTACTGTTGGGACTGGCATTGTAGAGTAAAATGTCCATACACTGAAAGGAACTCAACCATTGAGGAGGCATGTACAAATGATCAATTCTTTCTGCAGAAAAGATCCAAAGTGGATCTATACATTTACTTAGGAATCATATGCATTATGCACCAGATTCAAGGTCAGCTTCTCATTTCAGGTGCTGATTTTTGTGAATTTATGAGTGTACACACAGAAAGATTTACATGTGGAAGAGTGTATCCTGACTTGCCATTCATTGGCAAACATGCTACAAAAAGCTCTGTCAGTTTTTTAAGGACTTTGCCAAACCTCACCTAGCTCATGCTATGTAATATGTTATCATTTCATGATATACGCCCACAGTTACTGGAATACTTACATGTTTGCTCTGTTTGGGTACTGGAACTTTGGCTGGAAGGCAGATTATCATTTCCTCTGTTATCTGTGTCAATCAGTACACTGAAAGATGTAAAAATGTATTCCATATAAGGCCTTGTGAAGGATTGCAGATTGTATTATGTAACATATGTTATATTTTTGGATTACAGTTACATGTTACAGTTTAACACATTCTAAATGGCTCTTTGTATTCACAGAATTCTTTTAGTGTTGTAAAGGAAAACTTGTACTATGTATTGCTTTCAGAGAACAACTGACTTGTCTACAGATATGGTATATAGGACAATATGCAATGTTGCAATACAACATGTATTAATATAATGATGTAATGATGGGCCAGACATATTTGCATCCAATATTTTACAAAGTGTATGGCGTGAGGCATTCCATTTTGTCATGCCACTGTTCAAGGCACCTGGGTATATTCAGTGCTGACAGATGTGGGATTACTTGAAGGGTTAATGTGAGGTCAGACTGTGCATAGTGTCCATTTCATTAAGTAAATAGAAAAGGACACAAATTAATGTAATGTAACCAACAAATGGTCATGGTTGCTAAATAATTCTGAAAAACAAAACAAATCATGATGTGACAATCATGTCATAAATGGTATTGATTGTGAAAGTTGATTGAAAGCAAGCATATTACCACCAGGTACTGTGAACGTCACCTGCAAAGAAAACAGAGAAACCACAAAGCATCGCATTCTCTAGACTAACAGCTTAGTACTTAATATATATATAATTTGATAGTAACAAACAAACCCATTTAAATTAAAGAGGAGTCCCAGGAGACCAGAGATTCAGAACCTAATAAGAACCTGAACCTAAAAGGAAATCTAGACTTGCTCAATTGGGGCTTTAGCACTGCAGAAAGGCTAGGTAGTAGGAAAATAATATAGTTCAGGGACTGTGAGACAGACTATGATTTCTCTCATACAAATCCATGTAGTATGGGGTGAACTATGTGTTAACATTCTTAAGTTTGTTTATAATTCTCTACGGAGTTCACATTGTAGTTTGAAATGTATGTTGAATATGTGTATATATTTTGTCACATGTTACCAAATCTTTTCTCTAAAAAAATCATATTTGTTATGTAGAGGTGCATCGATCAATTTCTGTGATATTTCTTTTGAGTGTGGACATGGAGGGTAGATCTGCATGAATTTGTTCCCTAAAAGTGAAATACTTTGTTATTTGTTTGCAGTATCATCTGTACGATTGAGTACTGCATTGGTCAGTGTCTGGGATATTTCTTTAGACTGTGTTATGACAATATCCTCAGGTGTTTCGAATGAAAATGTGTGCTGAAGACTAGTGTGTGATAATTGTAAAAAACATTAAAATATATCCACATCATAAACATGGAGGATATATGTGCATGTATGTGTTCCTAAAATTGAAAATACTTTATTTATTTTGCATTATCATCTATTTTGTTAGTACTATTGGTCATGTCTGTGATATATGTGAGAGGTGTGTTATAGCAATGTCATCAGGTTTGTCCAACTGACAGTTATGTGCTGAAGACATTTTATTGTTAAACAGCATCATAAAAATTTAAAAATAAACATGGATGATGAAGTCGAATGAACAATTAAAAGACTTTTATGCTATGTATTTCTGCGTTGGAACAATGTTGTCCATAGGTGTAACACATTAAACATGTTATGTGTGGCACATTAAATATAAATTGCTCACCTGACACTAGGCTCAACCGATTGAATGCCACTGCCCTGGCACCATCGCTTCGGGGAGGTCTCTACTGGTTTGATATGGCGCTTCCATCGGCACTAATAGGGTCTGGAAACTCTCTTTCGTGGGATATCCATTCACAAAATGCTAACAAATATTTTAAAAATAAATACATTAAATTATCACCTATACGATTATATTGCCCTTGGTAGGAACACGACGTTTAGCTTGCTGAACTTCTGCCAGTACTTTGGTGGTTGTAGCGAATTAAAATTGTCAGCCGAATTATCGTTATATAGCCAAAAGAAAACGATGCCGTGCGACAATATATTGCGTTGGTAAACATATAATCCGAGATATATCGATATGAATACGGTCATATGCTAGAAAGACCAGTTTATACCTACACTACACTCAGTCATACCTTGGAGCAGACGAACTTGTGTTTGTTTATGTTGCCGACATTCAGTTGTCCGTGGGGTCGGCCACACGCTCTAATCCACCGCGAGCACTTCTCAAACTGGGTTTTCGGCTTGGGAAATGGCAGGAAATGGACATTAATGACTCTCTCTGGGTACCTTTCGTCCGAATTGGATGTACTCCAAGCGCAGCCCTTCACCATTCGAAAAAACTCGCTGACAGCTATGTCCTTAGATACACAAAAGCTTGGGGGACCAAATGGCGCCTTAGCGACAAGCTGTGCAGCAGTAAAGGCCCGGAGCGTGCTGATTGGTTAATTGATTCAGCATCGGAACTATGCATTGCATGTGAACTGTGTATTAAGTGAGACTACACGCCGAAATTGAAAATCATGCTGTTGAATATGGGTATTTTACAGATGGTGCGTTTTGTTGTGATGTTTTGTAAAATGAATCTCGTTTTAATTCATGAAATTGCTATTTTCATGATTCGTTTCTTTTTGGGGAGAGTATAGATTAACAAACGAGCCACATTACTCATAGATAAAAGAACGTAACAAAGACATTTCCCCACTACAATTTCGCATCCGCACCTTCTAGACATTAGCTCCTGAGGTGTCACTGGGCTTCTCAAAGCACAAATTAACCTATTAGAATTTGCCTCTCGAACAATCTATAGTTAGATTATGACTCCTCTGCAATTGGTACACATTGCTGTCCACAGTGAATGAATGTCGACGCTTCCCTTGTAATTACGCCATCGTTTAAATTGAAGTTGAATATTTCATTGGTGTTTAACAAATTTACTATTTCGTACGTACAGGTAGCTGCGATCAGTAAATTATTGCTTGATACTTTCACATGTGCTTCGTTGGTGAATGAATGTTATAAGTCATTTGTTTCTTGTAACTTTTGTTTGATTGTTTCTGTTCTTCAATTTAGAAGTCCCCCGCCGTGATATTGCTGGAATATTGCTAAAAGCGGCGTAAAACCGTACTCCCTCACTCAATTTAGAATAATTCTCGTCCAGATGTAATATAACCAGACGATGCTGAAGCTTAAATAAGAAAGAACCTGATATTCACTCAGATGACTGGTAACTGCATTTGGACCTTCGGTGCCTTGTCAATAACTCTGATATATTAGCCGCTTATATTGGAACTACGTTGAGTTTCACCATGTGTCGTAAGTGTGGCGGTGCAAAGATTTGTCGAGACATTCGTCCATAAGTAATAAGGCAGGTCAGTTCTAGTGATTTCCTTTTGTCAGTGTCAATAGTGTGAGCCACAGAAGTGTAAAGAGAAGCATTTGAATCCAGCTGTCAGCATGTCGCCATCTTGTATTGACTAAAAGCAAGTACCAATTCGGGTGCTTGCAGGGGCACTATCCTTGGTCATCGTCATGCTGATGTGTTCATGTCGAGACGTTCTTTCATAAGTAATAGCTCAGGTCGCAAAATATTCTGTAGCGTCCGTAGTAATATTCTGAGCCGTAGAAGTGACATACATACTGAGTTGACCACATTACTTGGAGATGATCGATTTTAGAAATTTGCCTTAATCATTGCTATAAATGGAATACCTTCCTTATCCCCTAAGTTATTGTCTTTGATCGAAAGCTGTTTTCCAACGTCATTATTGTGCCTGGTAATGATGTAATGATGGTAATGTGGTGGCGCGTGGTCCTGTACTCAAAGCTCAGGTCACAAATGGTAAAGCGTCGAGCTCGGAGAGTCCTTGGATGGGTGACCATGTTTGGCAGCTTGACTCCTGAGAGTTTCTAGGAAGTGAGTCCTGCCCCATTGTCTCACCTTAGGCAAGTGAGTTTGTTCAAAATTGTTTCTGTTCAC